ATTAATATTAATAATAATAACAACAACAGCATTATGAGGCCGTTTGGTAACACTATTTTTGGCTTATCAGGCTTATCAGCCAACTTTTTCACCAAACATGTAACTTTTGTTTTTGTGTAATAATAACAAAAAGTTAAGGTGAAGTTACTTTTGTGGCTGAATTGGCTATTTTTACATATAATTTTTCTTTATTATATCAACAAAATATATTTTAAAAATATATTTATCTTAAATCAGCAGAATCAGCCAATTCAGCCACTACAGCCAGAACTTCATAAATTTCAACAGAATCAGCCAATTTTCGTGTTACCAAACAGGCTCTATGTATGTGCCATTATGATAAACCCAGCCCAACACAATAATACAATACCAGGCCCATTCTCAACCCATTACACAAAACCCAGCCCAACAACCTAACCTAACCCAACCCGTGCTATATAAACTCTCTATACCCTACGTTTTACACATTTGTTCAACGGCTAATTCAACAGACCATCGGCTACTCCGATGGCTGCATACCTCGTTTTCTCTCACCCTCTCTATATTATTATGCTGCAACCACCCTTTGGCGGATGTTTTGTAAACGGTGGCTAAAGGCACGCATCTACATCATATGTCCATGGTTTGGCCGATGTTTCATTACTGCACCACTACTACGGAGACAAAGACCGAGTAAGGATGTAAACACTTCAGACCTCACGTCTCCTTGATTTCGGTATTTCCCCCTTTTTATGTATTCATTTTATTTTATACTAAGGCTGAGTGATACCTAATGATCTCAGATCTAATACTGCTAACTGCTTCGCACTTGCATGTCAATTGGATAATAAGATTCCAATTTTGAAGCATAAGATCTATACGATTTTAAACGAAAAGTTGTGGATTGTTTTAGATCTTTTATTATTCTGGTATTTTGTTTTTAAACCGGTAGGTCATCAGTTAAATATGATAATGTTGAATATTTAGAGTCTGTTGGTATCTTTAGTTGGGAATTTGTTGTAGATCCATACCGAATGAATGACACGAACGCTGAGTGATGATTAACAAAGGATCTCAGATGTATTCAACCGTATTTGGATTTCTCCTAAATTGTTTTTTTGTATCAGTTATCTATGAAGGCTGAGTGATATTGAATTATCTCAGACCATATTGATATATGTCTTGTACTTGCATTTTTTTAATTAACACTTTGCCGAATCAGATCTATACAATTTGTAAACAAAGAATAGTATTCAAAGATCTACAAAGGTTGAGTCAAATTTATATTATATACTGTATTTTTTATTTGTGTACTTCTAGAAATGTTCGGTTTCGAAGCTTGTTGTTGAGTTCATATATTTTATATGCTATCTTGACACACTACATGGTTTTGAAATTAATACATCCATACATGGTGTTTATCAATTCTGTTATTTGTATTTGTGACTCTGGACTATTGAACTTATAAATCAGTTCAGACAATATAAACATATAAAACTACCTTTGTTGGTCAAGTCTTCAAGACTTTTTTTTCTGTTGATTGTGGTGCTTTTGGTGATCCTCTTCATTGAAGAGCTGTTAGTAAGTTGGCTAATTCTATATGCTGTCAGATTCCCTGCCAGCCACCTAAGTGGCCTTCGGATCTGCGTGGTCTGGCAGCCATATATGGCCTTAATACATCTAACCTAACCCATGCCATACATTCCGGTAATGTAAAGTAAATAAAACCTCACATTTCTACAATTTTTTCAAAAACATCTTTGCATTCCATATAGTTTGGATTCCAACATGTACTGAAACACCTATGAAATGCATAAACTTATATATTCATCAAACCATTCTTCAGTTGTGTTTCTTCAAAAAAGCATATGCATACAACCATCAACATAACATTACATTACAATCATTACATAGAATACAAACATGGCCTAGGATTATTTGAGATCATAAATGTCACACAATTTGCAAAAAAAAAAAACAAACAAAACAGCTTGCCTCTTACATATCCCACAAAAACCATAAGCATATTTCATGTATTTAGTATGCATGAATACAGTCATGCCATTTTAAGCCAACCAAAATTCATCCCCACACTGATGTTTTCATTGAAGTACTTGTAGTTGAGTGTTACAGACCAACCTGATCTTCTAGGTATTATAGGGCCTGCATCTAGGCATTGTTGACATTGTTGGCATATGTAATTCCCAGTATACCTTTTCTTGTTTAGAGGCCTCATGCAGTAAAAGTGACCTAAATTTTTATTACACCAATAACATGGTACCAACCAAAACAGCCCCGGGTGTTTTCCACATGCATGACATTTTGGAGCATTGCATTTTGAACATGAACAACACCTCATCTTAAACAACAAAGTTCAATTTTTGTCATTAACTTTTTTTAAAAAATAAAAGTATTAAAACTGATTTCAATTTTTTTCATTATGTTTAGCATAAAAAAGTTTTCACTATTACTTATATCATTTTTAGATCATTTTGTCATTCAAAACCATAGTAAAAAACATAGCTTAGGTTTGTGTAGAAATATCAATGCTCAGACTTTATACTCGAAACAGTGGCAGCCTGCTTTGTTTAGATGTTATGGTTGAGCTCAGTAAATGAGTTTCTGAGCAGGGAGTAAATGCATTTACAATGGTATATATGCACCCAGACTGCAGTAATGGTTATTGACCACTGGTAAGTAACATTTTTTATTAATTGTGATATGTACCTGCTGCCTGTGCTCATTTAATGAGCAGACCTACACGTCATCCTAGTATTGGGATCCTACAGGCTGGTTCATTTAATGCGAGCAGACCATGTGTAAATGTATTGAAAACATGTTTAAAAATGTTATTAATAATAACTGCCTGCCGAAAAAAGATTTTCATAATTATAAAAATCATGTACTTGGTTTGTATCCTTGTTTCCTGTGTATGCTTTTATTAAATGTGCAGACCTAACTGCCATCCTATTTGCTCTGATTTGATAGTGAACTGGTATGTATTTAATGTCGCCTTTCTTATCACCATGTACTCCTACACAGAGTAAGTCACTATATATTATTACTTCTTATTGGTTAATTCTAAATACGGAGTATTTTTTTACAATATACTTTGAATGTATTGAAACCTAATAATAATATACTTTGAATATATTCTAGTGTTTAAATGTATTGAAAACATGTTTAAAAATGTTATTAATAATAACTGCCTGCCGAAAAAAGATTTTCATAATTATAAAAATCTGTACTTGGTTTGTATCCTTGTTTCCTGTGTATGCTTTTATTAAATGCGCAGACATAACTGTCATCCTAGTTGCTCTGATTTGATAGTGAACTGGTATGTATTTAATGCCTTTCTTATCACTGTGTACTCCTAAACACAGTAAGTCACTATATATTATTACTTCTTAGTGGTTAATTCTAAATACAGAGTATTTTTTTACAATATAATTTGTAACATTGAAAAAAGCATCTGCACTTGAAATTTAATTTTTTGAGCAAACATCTTTTATTATACAAAAATCATATATACGGGACATTCTATGTATAAATTATGTTTATTATGTCAAATGATTTGTCAAGTATTACGTACATCGATGTTTTACAATAACCATATGATTGTTTTAAATACGATGTTGCTGATTTTTAACAGATTGGTTAAAATCAACAACTTCATCTAAATATTTATGATTTAACATATTGGTTATAACCAAATGATTCAATCTACGTTTTTTTGTAAGAATATTAGTTTGAATAAACCTTTTTACCTTCAAACTCTTATATGGCCTATGAATAATTATTAATTGGAAAACCTTGGCATTTCAAATCAATTGGATGCCTGCGCCAGCATATCTATGCCAAAATAACTGCTCAACACCTGCTTTTGTAACCATGTACTTCACAAAATTTAACTGAAATCATGTTTATGTGCTTCAATAAGTGTTCTCTACTGAAAATTATGACTCCGTAAATTCTCCTTCCTTGATTTAAAAATATATATACCTCATTTCTTTTCTATCAACAACATAAAAGTCCATTTCAAGAAATGATTGGTTTGAGAAGTTTCAAGTGAAGTACATTGGTTAAATTTTCAAGTGTGGTATAAAGCAACTGCACTTGAAATATAATTTCTTGAGCAAACATCTTTTATTATACCCAAATCATATATATAAGACATACTATGTATATAGATGTTTATTATGTCAATGATAAATATAAGTTATAAGTATTTAGTACATTGATGTTATACAATAACCAAATGATTGTTTGAAATACAAAGTTGTTGTTTTTTAACAGATTGGTTAAAATTAAAACTTTGTTTAAATCTTTATGATTCAACTGCAGATTGTTGAAGCTCTATGATCAGAATTAGTTAGTTGGATATAATGACTCTCTATACTGACTTCTTTATACCTTAATTCTTGCAGGTGTAATTTTCAAGTTGAAGAGTATTTCAATGACTGCAATGTAGAAAAATGTAATAGAAATAGTTCTGGAGCCTTAGAAGGTTGCCATTTATGTAAACATTCAAAAAGGTCTGTAATATTATTTAGTTAAAATTAGGGATTGCAGGTTTCATCAACCATACCAATTGGTCAGGTATGTCACTTTACCTCTCGTTATTGGCCCTATTTTCAACTCTCATTGTTTGTAGGTTGTCTGTAGTTTAGAACTCCGTTTAGCTTTGGAAATATTAGAAAACCAATTCTTATTTTCAATCATGGCAAATGTATTAACTTCTACAATAAACAATACATTTATTAGCTTTGAAATCCAATGAATACACTTTTGAAATCAAATAAATACACCTCTCATTCAAGAATGAACATAGTTACAAAATTTTACGTTTCCTAATACTTCAAAATATACTCCGTAGTTAGAAACTTGTTGCCTTCATTAGGAGTCTCTACACGCCTAAAACTTTTTTTCACCTACAAATCATTTATAAGTGTGTCAGTGTCATTATAAAATTATTTTATAAAACTTGCCAAGTAATTATGTGTAAAGACATCCCTTAAAGTCAGCAATTTCTTCTCTCTGTAGAAAACCTGCAATTGCTCAAGAAATACACAATCTATAGAGGACCAAGGTATAATACGTCCACAACTTAACAGCATCTAATTAGCACACCACACTATAGCCATAATATAGGTTATTTGAAGTCTGTCACACATAGTGTTTCACTTCCAAAATACATACGGCCCCTTGATACAATTTTCCATAAAAAACCAACACCGCATTAGATGTTTCCACAAAAAAACCGAAACGTTATCTTCACTTCTTTGCAACCCCAATTACAGTTTTTCCTGCTTGATTTTAATCTTCACCTTCTTTCCATTCCCATTGCTTGAAAACTCATCATTGAGATTCCTTTTTATCTCGTCATCCAATTCAACAACCACCTCTCTTTGTGTAGAAGCAACAGGCGAATCTGAGAGCTCAATGGGGGCAGTAACCTAGTATGAATAGAAAGAAACTCCATTTTCAGAATTTCGTAATTCAAACCATTATAAACCTGTTAGGTTGATGAGCGTTTTACCTCCTTCTCAGCTGAAATCCGTTTTCCCTTGCCCTTAGTAACAGTAGACTTCTCTCTTATCGAGTTGTCGTTTCCTTCCAAGTTTGAACATGAACCAATCTGAAATAGAAAGATTCACTCTAGGCATTATCTTTAGATCTAAGCTGAAAATGAACTATTAAAGATTTTTTTCAAATACCTTCTCCGGAGTACACTCATGGCTTTCATTTGATACCAATTGCTCATGCTTTCCTTCATACATTGCCAACACATTAGGATCTCGAATCATACTAACAACTCCAAGGGAAATACTACCTTTATAGGCATTCTCTTCACCTCTCTTCTTTAGCTGTATTTTGAATATTCCTTTTTTGTCAATCAAGCTTTCAATATCTTCTGGAAAACGAGTTGGATCACCTGTTTTCTGTTTTTTTGCCAAGTTGCATTATGAAATAGAATGAGTGGTCTACATAGAATAAAATTGCTGTGAATAAAATATAGATGTTACCTTTTGGGCTTCAACCATTAGGGATGCTGTTGGGAATATTTTATGGTGTCCAATCTAATTAAATATCTTTGTATTTGTGTAGTTATTAGTTAAATGGGTAATATGGGCCACAAATGTATTTTAGCCCATTAGCCCACTTGCAAGCCTTAAGTTAGACATCCTTATGTATAAAAGGATGCTAACTTAAGCAAACCCTAACTCTCATATAAGCATCAACGCAGATATCATTTTTAGTGAGAAGGGAGAAAAACGCCGTTAATACCCTATTCTGTATTTCGACATCTTTATTGGTATTGAATCGGATCATCGTTTCTTCTGTACTCGTTCTATTGTTTGTATGATTGTTGATTGATATTGGGACTAACAGATGCAAAAGTTTTCCCCAGAATCTCAATACATTCCCTATCCCATAGAATAAAATTTCTGTGCCCGGTGTTGTCCATGATGCACACACTGACCTTGTAACTTAATCATTTTCAGAGTTATGATGTGTTTGTTTATTTGAAATTCATATTTGTAAAACAATACATTAACCCCAACAACAATATCTCTGGCAACAAATAAGGTGATATTATAGTACCGGTAGATTCCTTCTCCTAGTGTCACGCTGCAAGTAGAACACCTGAACCTTTCCTCCTCCGGTACCAATTTTTTGTGACATGTTGGGCAGCTTAGGTAGCACCACTCCCGAGTATTTTCGATAGAAACTATCTCACCAAGCACCCAGTAAATCTCCTCCTATTCATTCAAAATATTTTTGACACACAATGATTAGAACCAATTAGAAATGCTGCTTACAAAAATCCCTCTAACACATATTTACCTCAGTTGCATTCATCAAATCCTCCATAGTGGTTATGACAGCATGACCACTAAGCACATCCCTACTCCCTTCACCTTGTGAGCAGTTTGTGTTGCATGTTTGAGATATGGAGTCATCACCATCCGCCGGAAATCTATTATTTGTTTCATTGTGCAATGTAAGTTATTGTTTTTTAAAACTTACTATTATTAGATAATTATAAGATAAAAAAAATTTATGAATCGTACTCGCTCTGGAACTCTAAGAATTCGGTTGTGTTTCCATTGATGATGAGTTTGGACACATCAAAAGATGAAGCCACACTTAGGGTGCCTGCTTGTAAATAACATTGTTAAGCAAGAGTTGATGATGCGTTGATGTTGGTGAAATAGCAAAATTAGATGTTGTAATACCTTGATATCTTTTGGGTCTACACAGTTGAAATATCACAAAAACACCAATTCCAGGGTTCTCATTAACATAATCCTGATACTGATTTATATATTTGTTCCATAGAACACAGCCTAGTCTGTTTCCCCTGTATTTTCAAAAAGATTTTAGCCATTAACATAAACAATTATTTTCGTACCCATAACATTTCTAAATGAAAAAAAAATACTCTGGGTCTGCCACAGTTAGCTCCATTAGCCTTTCTGTCTTCCCATTGATGATATGAGTTTGAACAATGCTTTTATTGATAACCTTCCCAATTATATCTGAAACAGCGGAATGGAAACTGTTGTTAGCATAGTTCCATAAGTTATTTAGTTAGGTCTATAATTTGATTTTACCCACCAATGAGAGTTTTGTCGTTGATAACCCTTTGGGCGTACATCATATCGAAAGGTTGGAAATCGTAGACCATCATAGGCAATTCTGTCTTCGTATCTACCCTGAATTGGGTTTTAGAGATGAACTGAATCAGGTAGAGATGATTTGTGGTCTTCAATGTTCGGTAATTGTCTAGAACTAAGAAGTTCCTTATAGCATAGATCTTGTGCTCAGTTATTATAGTCTTGTACATGGCAATCTGTGGTCTCTTGATTATTGCATGAATCCGATCTCCCTATTTTACATATTCAAAATTTAACAACGAACATTTTATTATATAAAATATTTTTTGTTAGAAGTATAAATTGTACCTCGGCGTCATGCAAAACCATCTTGAGAGTCTCCCCTCCTTTTGAGTGAGGAGGCACCTCATAAGCCCTTACAACCCTAACCTTCAGAGCCCAGGTAGACTTGGTGTGATCAATGTTCTTGATCATAGACCACATCCCCGTTGTAGATGAACTTGCCATTGTTTAGTTTAAACTCTAAATCTGGACTTGCTCGTTTGTGGTGTGTCTAGAAAATCCTTCACTTGGGTATTTATAGTGGCTGGGGAGAAAACAGTTTCTGCCAAAGGGGTATTAACCAAGGGACAAATTCCCATTCAATCTTTAAATTGGGATTGTGGCGTACAAAATCCTTTTATTGTAATGTAAAGATAGTACAGTGCATTTAATGTTTGTGTGGCTCAAGACTAGCTCTAAGATTTTTTTTTGTACTTTCAAAGATTTTTGAAGTACAATTTACACCCTTTATTTAATCCTCAAATTAGCTTATTTCGAAATGGGGGTGAGACGTACAAAAACAGTCTAATCATAGTACAATTCAATTAATGTTTTTGTGGCTCAAGGTTGTGTGGAGATTTTATTTGCTTTTCTCCAGATTTAAAAGTACAAATTGTATATTTTCTTATTAATAAAAGCAGCAAGCATGCGAACTGGAGTCATTGGTTACTGTACCCAATATTAAACCTGCATTGTGCTGAACTCTGGCCTGTTTCTTAACCCATGGACAATCCGACCCGATTACTTAAAGACCCGAACCGAACCCATTGATGTGATGTTTTTGACCGGGAATACTGTGCAAAATTTCTCTTGCTTTTGTATAATAGAAGATTAGTTTTATAATTTTATAGAAGCATTCTAATTTATACGAATATTATAATGTTTTTTAGATTGGATAATGAACATATTGTCAAGAAAGGAAAATGAAATGACTATTAACCTAATATGACATTGAGCTCGAGTTTGGCTCGATTGATTTTCGGTGTTCGATTTCAATGCTCGATAAACATGCTCGAATGTAGAAGTTTAGATTATTCTCCTTTGTAGATTCATGTTCAAATTATTCAATAAATACTCGATTTTTTATTAATCATTAATAAATTTATAAAAATGCAGTAAAAAGTTTAAATTTTAAGATATGTACTGACGTACAGTAGTAAACATCAGTATGTTCGATCTCGGCTTGAATAACTATTCAAACTCAAAACCTACTCCGTGTTCGAGTTCGAAACTTGTTAAACTCAATTCATTAAATTAGATTCGAAATCAAGCTCGAACTCGAGTATATAATTCAAAAAAATCTTTGTTCGATAACAACCCTGAGCTAAATTTGGTATGTATAGTAAAAAAAGAAATTATTGCTTAGCCCACCCCACCTCTCAATTCTGGATCCGCCCCTGTTTCATGGTCTCACCCAACATCTAAACTAAATATTAACTTAAAATTTGTAAACATGTACATGATTAGGAGAGGATTTCAATAATTGGTAGATGATAGTGATTATTTTTTTAAGAAATACCCATCTTCTAGGTATGAGAATCTTAAAAAGAAAAGGAGACTTGAAAAGTTAACCTTGTCTTAAAAAGGAGCTCTTGATAGATTACTGGAGAGGCTGAAGAGGGTGATTATTAGGATGTAGATGTTGAAAATAATGTTGAAATACTAGATTATTGAGATAATGATATGGCTTCAAAGTCAATTGATAATGACAAGGCTGAGAATGCTGATAATGAGGACACTGGAATCATTATTTTAGATGATAGGTCTAATAATTCAGCTTTGTTTGACATATATAATCCAAAAAATTGGGTTGCTCTTAATTCAAAGTTGATAGACATTTTGGTGCAAAATGGTCCTAAAAGAGATTTAACTTTTGTCTAAGGCCTAAAGATTATTCCCTAGTAGATTCTCAGCAATATTTTACACCTGAAATTTGCCTAATGGAGAGAATCAGAGAAATATGATAGAATTTGACTTGTTTATTCAAAAAATACTTTTATATTAATTATTATGTTGGAACTTGGAAAGGAAGGATTAGTTTTATTTGTTCACAAGGTTTCCATTTTCTCACTATGGGCGCGGCTCCAGCTGCCGTTTTTTTTTACTTAATTTCATCATTTCCTAATTTTTCAAATGAAAAAAGGGTAGTTTGAAAATAAGCAAATATTATCGGCCCATTTCCAAAAAAATCCATTTTTTGTCACCCTGCGAGTAGCCTTTTCTCATCGTGTCTAGTCTCTATGCTTCCACGGTTCCACACTTCCACCAGTCCTCTACAGCTCTACTGTTTCTAGCAACTATTCTTGATTTGGACTAGCTTTAGCCGTTAAGTATCCCTCTTTATGAGTAGCTGCTGCCGTAGCCACTCATTTAGCACACCGGTAGGCTACTATTCTTCCCTTCTTCCGATTTCTTTCATTCATTTGCTTGAATGACATTTATTTGTATTCTTCCATTCTTCTACTTTTGACTTTTCTATTGTGTTAGCGGGATACACAGTGTGATTTTCGCTATTAGGTTTGCATTTTTCCTAAATAGTTGTCCCCTGATAGAAACCTATACTTTTATATGGTTTGTTATTGGTTTAGTTTGTGGATTAAAACATCCTTTCTTACAATTATATGCGATTACCTTGTTAGAAATTTTTAGATTATTTCCCTCCAACCAATTGGCTTGAGTGCTTTTTTGTTTTTTTTGTTTTTCTAGACATAGAGCACTGCACTTCATGTTAGAAAATTTGCTTGTTGATATCATGGCGAGCTGTCTAACCGGTAACCACTATCTTTTTTCGAGAGTGGAAGCTTGCTTCTAATTTAACAGTTTTGCATTTTTCATATTAGAAAGCCCTTCTATGGAACCATTTCCTTACTGGTTTTCGGATTTAAGTATGTTATAGGCGCCGTACCGCCAAGTACATTAGCTAAATGTTCACGGTTTTAAGAAAAAGAAGTTAGAAATGACTTTCAAAGGCTTTCCTTTGACTCTGATGGACTGATTAAGCACGGAGGGGGGGCTGGGTGATTTCTGTAGAATGGAAACAATCACCCTTGAATGGAACAAGACTAAACTATGATGATGAAGATAATACTAAGAAGAGTAGAAGACAAAGGAGCAAGACTAAAATATGTACCATACTTAGACTCAAGGTATCAAGAAGTATAAGTTGACGTGAGCATACTTGTCACGGCGTCGCCTATGCAACCTGGCGCTAGGGAGTGCTAGCCAGGTACCCTCGCCTCGCCGGAAGAAGACTACTTTGTATACAATTAATAACGCTGAAGTGCTGAAACACTGAACTGCTTATATGCTCTGTACATTATTAATTATTAATTTATTTTATTTTATATAATAATAAATCATTAAATTATTAATAAAATTATTATATATAATTACGTATCATTTGAGACAGACATTTTTACTCTCAATTCCCATTAATAAACTTTGTCTTCAATTATTAATTGTGAGTTTCAATCCTAAGTTATATACAATTTAATTAGTATTATATTATACATAATATATAAATAAATATATATAATATGCGACTAGCCGCCTAATTGTCGCCTAGGCGGGTGCTTTATCGCCTAGGCGATCTGGCGGTCGGTTGGCGCCGCGACTCGACTTACCGCCGTGACAAGTATGGACGTGAGTGAATGATATACTCATGATGCATTAGTGTAGTTGAGTACTTGAGTGGCCGACCAATTAAACATTTAAACCATGTGGGCATCAATGATGTCAATAATCTAGCTACTTTTGTACATTTTTTGTGTACTTAATACAATAATACCACAAACAACAACATCCAAGCCTTATTCCCAAAAGATATGTATTTAATATTGGTCTTTAATTGGATCAATATGTTTCTCTTCAATTTTATATTTTAAATTTTTAATACAACTTGGAAAGTGACAGAGATAAGTAGCAAGAGGAGTAACAAGAGGATGCATTAAAATTTTAGTCTTATTTTTTCAATAATATGAACTACGAATATTTCATTTATTTTTGTTGTGCTAGTATTTAGTTTTATTGGACATACGATTATACGAAGGCTTCCTTCAGGACCTTCACCTAATATGCAGAGGTTTAGTTGTATTTTTTGAAACGCTTTTCCTAACTTGAACTTTAATGTACTGAATTTAGTATTGAGGAGGCCTAAACTTGCATGAAATGCATTCTATCAACATTAACTGCTTGAAGAATATGAGAGATTGCAATTAAAATTTATTTCTTTTTGGTAGAAAGGTTTTGGATAAACTGATTTTTGATCTGGCAGTTAGTAGTCCTTCTATACTAATAAGCACTATGTATTTATTAGGTATTTTCTGTTACGTTTTGTTTTCATCTGTTAGTAAACTACAACAAGAATTTTAGTTTGTTGATAATTCAAAATTTCAATAACAATTAAATAACATGCATGGTCAATAAGCTAAAATTGTGCTTTACTAAGTTATTTCCTTCATTATTTATTTATTTATTTATTTATTTATTTATTATTTCAAATACTGAGCCCCACTCTTTTCTTATTACACTAAGAAAAAATCATCAAATATATGAATTTTTCTGTTTAGTATGAGTATGAAGTACAAAATTGTTTCCACCAAAGTATTCTGTTGGTCATACTTAAAATTATCTTATGAATGCTTTGATCCATAACTTTCACTGCATTTAGTCAATACTAGTATTCATTTTTCATAAATAGTTTTTTGAAGAATGCACTTAACTCAATAGCTGTGGACTGTGGTTGATAGCTCTGATCTTTGAATGTTCTGTATGACCTGACTGCATTAGTAGCAAAATATTTAGGGGCTGTTTACTTATGACTTAATGAACTTAATGCATATGTTGACTTAATCGTTCAGCCATTAGGTATGTTTACTTGGGACTTATTCGCTCAGATAAAATTCGACTTAATCGTTCACCTTCATTTTAACACTCCTTTCCGTTCAGACGGCTCTGCCTTTACTGAAAGCCTTCTGTCATCTCCTTCGAATATTTCATCGCACAAAACAACAAAGAAGAACCTTCGGAAATCGTCGACTAGAGCTGCTGAGCATTTTGTGAGCTTTCTCCATACTAACGAAGAAGAACCTCAAAGCATCTTGGTATTTTCTCTAATCTGAATCTTTTGTTCTATTTTTTCTCATTCTTCTCGATCTAGTCAGTTCCTACTTTCTATTGATTGATAAAATTTCAGAAATTCAACTTAATTTAGAGAATTCATATTCCTAAACCTCATGTCAAACTCATATTCTTCAACTTAATTTCTATAGATTGGTAAATTTCACCATATAATTGAAGTCATCCACATAGCCGCCTATATTTTCGCTGAAAGTGTTTCAAGAACACTAACTTTTATATTAACATGTATGTGTATATGTATCTATTCAAAAGTAAAGCAATTTCGGCTACTTTAACTTTGTATCAATAAATATTTTTATTTATTCTTGGGATGTTCATACATCATCTATTGTTGGGATTTTGTGTTGCTGTTGGTTACATTGTGATTTTTTTTCTTTCGAACACTGATTAGGGAATAATATATGAACAAATGAAATTATAAGAATGAGGCTTAACCTACCAGGCAGCCGTATACATGTATTTATATGAAATAATAAGAGTAGCAATTACAATTATATCCTTATAATATTCTATTACAAGTCATTATTATTTCTTTTTCTCCCTTTATGTTAAGTTTGATTGTCGATTCATTTTTTATTGTCTTTTCCAAGATGAGGCAGATTTTATCTTTAGTTAATGCAAGTGAGTACAGATATTTTGTGGCCATAGTCTTATTTGACCTCATTAATCATTATGTGGAAGTAGATAGCTCAATGGTTGATGCAAGTGATTGCAGATTTTATCTTTAGTTGATGCCTATGTGATGCCAAAGTATTAGATGACCTGAAAATTGAAATATCAAATATCAAATTTTCTTATTTTGTCCCAAACAACGAGTTGATTCATTATTTGGCAGTTTGTGAGTTTGTGACACATAAAAAAGTTTTAGAGCATATACAAGCATATAAAAAGCTGGCAACTTTTACTATAGTGCCCCATGTCTTACAAGGGAATGCCGCAAATAAGATATAAATATTCATACTCTGTTTTCTCATATTCTATTTTATTCGTTTGCAACTTGTTGCCAAGCATGTAGTTCCATAGTTCATACTCCGTTTTCTCATACTTTGTAGTTGCATATATGCTTGATATACTATTTAGGTGGGTAGCTATTTTAGACATAATTTTCAGCGTTTTGGGCTCCATTAAGACATAATTTTCAGCGGTTCTCGCAGGTTAAGATATTGAAGAAGAAGAAGAAGTACATGGAGCACAATGAGGTACGCAAAATCTACAATATATGACGAATTTGCGGGATGAAATTGCTAATAGACTAGTAGAGAATGTTTAAATTTAAAATGTTGTTCTCGTAAAACTTTTGACATTTTCTCATCATGTAATGTTACTCTTTTATTTATGTAATTTATAGTATTATTAGTATTATTATTTTCAGGCATGTGAAATTATTTATCGGCAAAAGAAAAGTAAACAGACAATATATATTCATCACTTGTTCTAGACAGGAGGGTTATTTGGTCATTTGACATCATTCAGACTTCTCATTCAGCACACTTAGTAAACAGTTTGTTATCTCAGTATCACTTAATCCAGAGAGACAACTTAATGCAGACAACTTAATGCAGACAGACGTCTTAATCCATTCATAATCCATTCAGGACTTGATGAAAAAAAAGTAAACAGCCCCTTACTCAAATACTACACAACACTACAACAGGGTTCAAACCCCAATTCAGTCAGTTTCGCTTCGTCAGTTTCATCAATGAACAGGTTAGTTCTTTGAATTTTTATATCTTTGGAAGTTTTTTATTTTTCTGTTTTCTCGTTATGTGAGAATTAGAAGTATCAGCATAAATAACATTTAAGATAGAAGCCATAGAACACATGAATTTGGTCAAGAGGATGTATGAATAAAGGAGATAGTTGATGCTGATTGAGAGCATGGGCAATTGGCAGTTGGCACTATTTTTTTCAACATAAAAGAAAGCCAAACTAGTAGAGTTCAAGCATTTCATAGTCATTTTCAACTTCTCTGTTTTTTCACAAATGACAGGTTGACACTTTTACTTCTTTTTTTTATAGAGAAAATTATACTACTATATTTCAAATAATAAACATATTAGGATTTTTCAATTTTCTATTTTCAAATCACTTGGCGTTTCAACTTTTCTGTTTTTTTCTTCTGGTTAGGCACTTCAGATTTAAGATTTCTGTTCTTCTTTCCTGGCTTAGCACTTAAAAGTTAATAGTATTGTGCGTTCTTATTTTAGTACTGAGAGTACTTTGTTTGCTCCGTGTTTGTCAACTACGATGTCCACAATTATATCCTGTACTAGGACATAACTGTTGAGTATCCTGAACTTTTTTATGTTAATATTTGTAAATTATCTCGTAGATCCATTTCGTATCAATTTTTTTTTAATATGTGTTAGAGTTTTCATTTCTGACTACCTTGCTTTCAATGGCACAGATGGAATGTGAATTTTTTTCAGTACAGATGTTCAAATTTCGCTGGATTTCAAGACGGTCCGTTAAGGCCTTTTCACCCACACCCCAAATGCGTCTGATAAGATGCCTCTATGAGCCTAAACATTATTTTCCATCCATCGAATGTTTTGCTCTCTCCTACACTACTCTTCATGCTTCGGAAAGAGAAACCACCCGAAAGAGTTTACCATTTAAAGATTTGAAAGTTCTGAAATTGCAAGCCCCCAGCAGGTTTAGGAGTTCTACCGGAAAAATGTGTTCGGGAAATAGTGTGCTTGTGCCATTGGGGGTTCATGTGGACCAAGGAACTCAAGGTATTAAAAAGGTTAGTCAAAGTAAAATGAGAGTGCTAAACTGGTATTCAGAAGTGTTCCGAGGTTATGCGGAAAAAATGTTCTTAAAAGAAGGAAAAGTGCTTCATGGGGAGCTGGTTAGAAATTTAATTGACCTAGATGCACATGTGCTTGTTTCCTTGATCAATTTTTATGCTAAATGTGGAGATCTGAATTCTGCACGCAAAGTGTTCGATCAGATGCCTGAGAAGGATGTTGTATCATGGACAGCACTAATCTCAGGATATCTACCTGAACGTAATCATATTCAAATTGTTGGATTATTTTGTGAGATGCGGAGGGAAGGTGTAATCCCTAATGGGTTTACATTGTCCACAGTTCTGAAGGGTTGTTCTATGTGCTTGAATTTAGAGCTTGGGAAACAGTTGCATGCTAATGTAGTAAAACTTGTCACCTCAGACGTTTATTGTAGTTCTGCGCTTATTGATTTCTATGCTAAATGTCATGAGATAGAAGATGCGAAAAAAGTATTCCTTCATATGCCAGAACCAAATTTAGTGTCTTGGAATGCTTTGCTTAATGGGTATGCACAAGAAGGCGATGGACAAGAGGTCTTAAGATTGTTTTGTTGTTTGTCTGAGTCAGAATTCAGGTTAAACAATTACACATTAAGCACTGTTCTAAAGAGTTGTGCTAACGAGGGCAACTTGGGAGCTGGCCAAGTAGTTCATTCAGTGGCAATAAAGATTGGAAGTGAACTTGATGACTATATAAGCACTAGTCTAGTAGATATGTATTCCAAGTGCCGACTGCCTGAGGATTCTCTTAAAATATTTAAGAGAATAAGAAGTCCTGATGTTGTCTCGTGGAGTACAATGATATGTAGTCTTGATCAACATGGATATAAAAAAGAAGCAGTCTCTGTTTTTCAAATGATGATGCATTCTGGCGTGAGACCTAATCAGTTTACTCTTGCAAGTGTCATTAGTGCATCTGCTGATTTAGGTGATCTGTTTTTTTGCAAAAGCATCCATGCTCGTGTTTTGAAATTTCGACTTAACTCCGAGAATTTGGTGAGCAACACTCTTATCTCAATGTACATGAATTTTGGATTAAATAATGATGGCTACAAAGTTTTTTGCTCTATGAATTCAAGGGATGTTATTACTTGGAATGGGCTTTTATTGGGATTTCATGCTGATAAAACATTACACGAGGGGCCGAAGATTTTCAGTCAGATGCTTATTGAGGGATTCAAGCCAAATCTGTACACATTTATAAGCATTCTGAGGTCTTGTTCCAGCCTGTCAAACATTGGTTTTGGGAAACAAGTACATGCTCATGTAGTTAAGGAGAACTTGAGCGGAGATTGCTATGTAGGAACTGCTCTGATTGACATGTATTCTAAATGTGGGTACCTGAATGATGTTGAAGTTATTTTCACTAGGTTGACTCAGAAAGACGTATTCACATGGACAGTGATGACTTCAGGCTATGCACAAAGTGATCAAGGAGAAAAGGCCTTTGAATGCTTAAGTCAGATGTTGAAGGAAGATGTCAAGCCAAATGAATTTACTCTTGCAAGCTGTGTGAGTGGCTGTTCACGTATAGCCAGCCTTAGTAATGGAAGGCAGCTGCATTGCTTAGCAGTTAAATCTGGGCATTTCAGTGACTTGTTTGTGGCCAGTGCATTGGCTGATATGTATGGTAAATGTGGGTGCATTGCTGATGCTGAGACTCTGTTTGAAGGCATTGAGTCATATGATACTGTGTTGTGGAACACAATTATATGTTCATACTCTCAGCATGGGATGGGCAAAAAAACCCTACAAGCTTTCAGGAGGATGTTGAATGAAGGTATTTTGCCTGATGCAACTACTTTCATTGGCGTTCTTTCTGCATGTAGCCACTTGGGCTTGGTTGATGACGGGAGAAAACACTTTGAGTCGATAACCAGCACTTATGGAATCATTCCTTCTCCTGAGCATTATGCTTGTATGGTTGATATCCTTGGTCGAGCCGGAAGATTTGATGAGGTGGAAAAGTTCATTCAGCACATGGAGCCGACTCCAGATGCATTAATCTGGGAAACTGTTCTTGGTGCTTGTACAATTCATGGAAATGTTGAATTGGGAGAAATGGCAGCGAAGTTTTTATTTGAACATGAACCTAAAGTGGATTCGAGTTACATATTGCTGTCCAATATATATGCCGCAAAGGGGAGGTGGAAGGATGTGGCCAAGATGAGAGCGTTTATGTCTGATCAGGGGGTTAAAAAGGAACCTGGCTGTAGTTGGGTTGAAGTTGACACTCAAATCCATGTCTTTCTATCTCAGGATGCCTCACATCCAAGAATAAGCGATATACATGCAAAACTGGATGAGCTCTGTTTACAACTTAATTCAGCAGGCTATATTCCAAACAAGGATCATTCACTTCATAATGTACAAGATCAGGAAAAAAGAGTAAACCTCATTCATCATAGTGAAAGGCTGGCTCTAGCTTTTGCACTCATAAGTAATACTACAAACCATACCATAATAATCTTCAAAAATCTTCGGATATGTGGAGATTGCCATCAATTCATGAAGTTGTCGTCATTAATAACGCATCGAAAAATAGTTATTCGGGATGTTAATCATTTTCATCACTTCTGTGATGGCACGTGTTCCTGTAATGATTATTGGTGACATGATCTTGACCAGCTAGCCTATTGTTATTGTTCTCATCTCTACCAGGCTTCATTGATATTATTATTCCTAGATCATGAACTAAATAGCCTGAGACTACTATTTACATTCAACTCACTATTGGGTATGTATTCCAACTCTATCATGATACTATTACAAGTATAATCTTTATAAAAAGTTCATTTGAAATGCCCATGTTGCAGGTCTAGCGCTTCTTAACTTCGGAAGTGCAATATTTAGTTCAGATGATTTTCTTCGCCAGTAGAGATCCAAAGATCCTGATCCAGTGCGAATAGCTGATTGATGAGGTCTGTTGGTCATGATAGCCTTAGATGAGAAGAACTTCAATATTGGACACTATTGTTGCTTAAATTCTTAAATTTCAAGATTAAGTAATAAATGTGATGGGACCATGCCATATAAAATACCTGATCCAAATCACTACCTAATCGATGAATATACATATGCATGTAGGTATATATTATTGAAGGAAATAAATAATTGACATTTAAGGCATAATATTGCATTTAGCCGTTACATATCTCTATCATTATTATTGTATTATTACCTACCTTATAGACTTGATTAGTGATTGTATAAATAACACCTATTGTAAACCCTTTTGATTATATTGAAATATACTTAAAGCATTCGTTCCTCTCTTCTCTATTATGGTATCAGAGCAATTGAGCTCTAACCAATTGAGCTCTAACCAGCCCTTTTCCTCTCCCCTGTGACAACAAACGACAACCAGCCTGAGGTTCTCCTCAAGCAAGGAGACCTCGACAACATCCTTACCAGTACACCTATCCCTTCTAATACTCCTTCAACCACAGTTACAACACCTCTCACCCCAGATGAATTAATCCTGTTAAATCCCAGTCACTTCCCAGAAAAACTAGATGGTTCAAATTACCTGGTATGGCAGGATCAGATTTTGGATCTTCTTTTTGGGCCTCATCTTGATCAGTATATATCTGATCATGCTACCCCGCCACCGAAGAGCGATGTTGATGGCCATCTTCGTTGGACTAGGCAAGACCAGCTAATCAGACATGCCCTCGTAGCCTCCTTGAATTCAACCTGTAAACCTTTGGTTGGGTCCGCTCGCACGTCTGCAGCAGTTTGGAAGACTCGTTCACCATCCCAAATCCGTAACATGAAGGAAATCTTCCGCCACACCCGACAAGGCTCTCAACCACAGGAAGGACTTTGACCCGAGTTCGAATCGTTTGCTAACTCCATTCGTACGTCGCGGCGATAACAGGCTTAAGACGATCTATACCCTGCTCACTGGCTTCGAAGACTCTATGAAGCGGAAAGAAGATGTTATTCCTCCGTTGTTGTGGTGACGGCTAATAACGTGAGTACGGGGGAGTCGGCAGCACTTGTGGCTTGCAGAGATCCGGCCTCGTCAATTTTGAGCCCCCGGACCACCAGCCCAATTTCAACAGCAGCCCAATCGCGTTAATTATTCGGCCCGCAATACTAATCGGAATCAACCCAGAAACCAGCGACCCAATACTAATTACAGTCCCAACCGACGTGGCAATAACAATTCTTGGGGTCCTACAAGCAATCAGGCAGCCCGCAACAGTTCGGGGAGTGGTAATTTCGGGCCCAATGTTACATGTCAAATTTGTGGGAAACCGAATCATTCTGCTCTCAACTGTTGGCATCGTTTTGAACAACAAGCTTATCCTCCCCAAGTTAATTCGGCGGTCACTCGTCACAATGGCTGGCTACTTGATTCAGGAGCGACCAATCACGTCACCAATAACCTGAATAATCTTACCTTGGCATCCGATTATACTGGCACTGATTCTCTTGTTATTGCTAACATTAAAGGTCTTGCGATAGCACAAGTTGGGCATATGACCCTTCACTCCCTTTCCCTACCTAATACTCTTTTTGTTCCTTCTATCCATACCAATTTAATTTCTGTCACCAAATTATGTCGTGATAATGATGTACTAATTGAATTTCATTCTTTTTTTTGTCTTACTAAGGACCGGCGAACGAGAGCAATTTTGTTACGGGGTATGAATAAAGGAGACGTCTACAGCTTACCAGATGTACCCCCTCCACCATCTCCATCTGTTCACATCACACAAAAATTTTCCCTTAATAATTGGCATTGTCGTTTAGGACATCCTGCCCTCCCTATCACAAAAAAAATTCTTTTTTACTTAGGTATTTTTTTTCCTGATGTTACTACAAATAATTCTTTATGTGTCTCGTGTGCTAGTAATAAAAGCCATAAACCGCCATTTGCAAAATCATCTCTTACGAGCTCTGGACCTTTAGATTTAATATATACAAATGTTTGGGGTCCCGCTCGTGTTAATTCTATTGATGGCTTTCGTTACTATGTTATTTTTGTCTATCTTTATACCAAATATATTTTGTTTTATCCTATGGCTCATAAATGTGAGGTCACTCCACTCTTTCACCAGTTTAACAAGATTGTTGAAAACTTTTTTCAACGCACAATTAAAACAGTTTATTCTAATGGGGGGGGGGCAATACATAACCTTAGGGGAATTCCTAAGCACAAGTGGTATTTCTCATTTATTTACCCCCTACACTCCAGAACACAATGGCTTTGCTAAACGTCGCCATCGTCACATTGTGGAAACAGGTATCACCTTACTTCACCATGCGTCCATACCTCTTAAATATTGGTCATATGCCTTTCTTACAACTGTTTATCTTATCAATAGACAACTTGCTCTCTCTCTTAACTTCTGCACTCCGTATGAAAAACTTTTCCAACAACATCCTAATTATACTAAACTTGCTGTTTTTGGTGCCAATGTTTTCCTTGGTTACGTGCTTATACCACTCATAAATTGGAACCACGCTCTAAATCGTGCGTTTTCTTGGGGTATTGTGACTAACAAAGTGCCTATCGCTGTCTTGATCTTACCACTAATCGGATCTTCATCAGCAGACATGTTGTGTTTGACGAGACAATCTTCCATTTTTCTACATCCCCACCAACAGTCTCAAATATTACTTTTGGAGTTGATCATTGGCTTCAACCTTCCATGTCTTATCTTCCCATTTCAGGTACTCTGGTCACGGGGGCGTCTTCTCCTACTCATACCTCGACTCAACAACTGACTTCCGGTAAGTCACCTAATACCTCCACCCAAAGTGATATCCCAACTTCTCCCCGTCCTAAAGACACACCGCCACAAATCATTACTCACCACCGCCGACCCAAACCCAATCCCCCTATACCCACCCCTCTTCCACCTAACACCACTGAGCTCACTACCTCAACACCACACTTCGATAATTCCCCGCCCAAATGTATGATAGGATCCCAGGCTGAAGAAAATTTCTGATAATAGTAATAAAGTGATGCTCCCTCCGTCCCATAAAATTCTTATCACTTTCCTTTTTGGGCCGTCCCAAAAAATACTTCCCATTTACCATTTTTGGACAATTTGTGTGGTTCACATTCATTTCACCTTTTTCTTACACAACTACAACCACACATTTCTTCTTTATTCCACTTTCTTAATCTCCGTGCCAAGTCAAAGTGGGAAGAATTTTCTGGGACGGAGGGAGTATTAAATAATTGTGGTAGAGTAAAAATAAGGGTTCTAGGCCATGTATATGGGCTTGGGCCGGCCTTTAAGAATAAAATTAGTATAAGAGTGAGAGGGAGGAGAGGGGTAGATTAGGCAGAAATTGGAATTAGGCTTGGGACTTGGGAGAGGGGACTGCGCGAAGTGTCTCATTCTGTTTTCTTCTCTTTCTTTCTGTTTACGCCATTGTAATCCCGTTGAAGTTCTGAAAACCACATCAATAAACTACTAATTTCTACTGTTTTGCTGGAGGGTTCTAACAACGTACCCATCCAGTGACCCTTCGACCCCGTAAACAAGCCAATATTGTTACTAATATTCCTTTACCTCACCATGTAATTCTCATTTGTGCTTCTCAAGCTATGCAGGTACCAGAATGGCGGAGTGCTATGTTAGTAGAATTTGATGCCTTAGTTCGATAGGTACTTGGGATCTTGTTCCACCCCAGCCTGGCCTAGGTTGTAAATGGGTATATACAGTGAAGTATAAGCCGGATGGTTCATTGGATCCTTACAAGGCTCGGCTAGTAGCTAAGGGCTTTCATCAGCGCCCCGAGATTGACTATTGCTCTCTCTCATGATTGGCCGGTACATCCGTTAGATGTCAACAACGCTTTCCTACATGGGACTCTTCAGGAGGAAGTCTACTAGAAGAAACCGCCTGGTTTTAATGATTGTTTTGGGTTTGTGTTTCGTCTTCGCAAATCCATTTATGGCCTTAAGCAAGCGCCTCGGGTATGGTATCATGCTCTTAGTGGATTCCTTCTCGCACTTGGATTTCATCAGTCTGTTGCTGATGCTAGTCTATTCATATTTTCCTGCCGTCCATCTTATATCTATGTGTTGGTTTATGTGGATGACATCATTGTTACTGGTTCTACACTGGACTTGATACATCAGACTATTGACTCATTGGCTCACAAGTTCTCTATCAAGGATTTAGGAGCCTTACACTATTTCTTGGGCATGCAGGTTACTCCTACACAGGGTGGACTCTTTCTTGATCAACATAAATATATTATGGACTTATTAAAGATTTTAAAATTGGATGAGGCTAATCCTGTGGCTACACCGTTAGCTTCTTCTGCCTCCTTAACTCTGTTTGATAGTTCAGGCTCGTGTGAGCCCACTCTCTATCGACAGGTCCTCGGGTCTCTTCAATATTTGAATATTACTCGCCTGGATGCTGCCTTTGCTATTAACAAATTGGCTCAATTTATGCATAAACCTACGGTTAATCACTGACAACTTCTCAAACGTCTCTTGCGCTATCTGCACGGAACTGCCTCTCATGGCCTCTATCATTGTCGCAGCACCTCCCCCTCTCTCTGTGCCTTTGCTGATGCTGATTGGGCAGGGAATCCTGATGACCGTTCCTCTACCAGCGCATATGCCATCTTTATGGGGGAATCACTTATATCTTGGAGATCAGTTAAGCAACACACTATTGCTAAGTTTTCCACGGAAGTAGAATATCGAGCCCTTTCCATCGCTGCCTCTGAAATTATTTGGATCGAATCTCTCTTGTGTGAGTTGCGGCACCCGCTCCTTTCTCCTCCACTCCTCCTCCTTTGTGATAACAAAGGTGCTACTACATCTTCAGTCAATCCTGTCTTCCACTCCCGCATGAAACGTGTAGCTATTGATTTTCATTTTGTTCGACAGCGGGTTCAACGTGGTCTTCTTCAAGTGCATCATATTCGATCTTTTGCTCAGATAGTTTGACGCCCTCACCAAACCACTTCCTCGACAACGCTTTATCCTTCTTAGAGACAAGCTCATGATTCTTGGAAGTGACAGAACACCTGGCTTGCGGGGGCGTATTGAAGGAAATAAATAATTGACATTTAAGGCATAATATTTCATTTAGCCGTTACATATCTCTATCATTATTATTGTATTATTACCTACCTTATAGACTTGATTAGTGATTGTATAAATAACACCTATTGTAAACCCTTTTGATTATCATTGAATATACTAAAGTCATTCGTTCCTCTCTTCTCTATTATATATATGCATTTGTATGTTTGTATACTATTGCCATTAATATGTCTAGTACCTCTATAAAACAAGAAACAAATTAAGCGAAACACAGAAAAGCAAAAAACATGCGAAAGTTGCCCTCCCAATGAAGATATGTGGTACAGAAAACTAGAAAATCACCCAAATTAATGTTTTCTCTAGGTTTCGTCTTTCCTTTTCAATGCATAATGTCACAATATTAGCTCTTTGGCATTCCCTGATCTGGGATAAACTGCTCAAGTTTGTTAAACAATACATGAGTGCATACAAACTCTATTTGCAAGAGTTTTAACATAAAATATTCCTTATTCCATGGTAATTTATGGGTGATACATTTATCCTTGAAAAAGCAATGTTTTTACTCCATATTATGTAGTTATATTATATTCTTCACTCAATTCATTTTGATATATTTGATACATAAAATTCTAGCTGACTAAACGATTATTGATACTTCACTTTTAACATTGTAACTTATTGGCTCTGTGTTCTTTTCCCATTTGGTACAATATACATTTCTCTTACCGTCAACTGAAGATAACAGACCAACAATCTTTAAATTTATAATCTACCTTTTGAAATAATTAATTTGTGCATGTCACCCGACAAGGTTGGGTACTGAAGTAATTCCATCTCAAATTTTAATTTATTTTCTCGCTCCTAACTTCATAAATTCTGGTCCATCAGCAGATTTCTATCATCCCCTGAACTGTTCAGTCCCTGGACGAGGTCGCATATATGCGTTTGTAACACAACTTTATTGGGAAACTCTACAATGCTGAAGTCCTTGCAAGTCTCCTTTAGAGTCAACCATCCATTTTATTTTCAATAGAAGGATCTTTGAAAGTTTTCTTCCAGTTTTGCCTAATTCTAATTGTCAATAATCACTAGATAGTGGACCTTAGTTATGTATAAAGGATTATTCTGCTTTATGTATTTGTTCCTCATTCTTCTTTTGTGACAAGTTTTTGCAGGGTAATTGTTTGAGTGGACATACACATTCCTGATGGAGTAGGAAACCTTCATGATCTTGGAAACGTGTAAGATTCTTTTCCCCATGTCAGTTTCTTGGTACTTTCATCAGTTTATGGTCACCTATGCTGGATTTAACAATTAGCGTCCACGTTTTGGAGACTTTAACAAACTGTGTCCTTCTTGGGACAAGGATACCTAGTATCAACAGAAGATTTATCTTCCTTTTTTCTTTTAACTTTTAGAAAAGAGATTGGTATCAACTATCAAGTGCTCCACTGCTCCAAACTAGATGTAAGTTTGAGGACGTCCTCATGTATCTTTCACCATTTAATGATAAGGTAAAAAATGGAAAATAAAGTCATAAAACATGATATTCCTATTTTTTTAATCTACTTGTTTACAAAGTTGAAAATTATATCACCGAGACTAACTAAGAAACGTATTTAACTTATTCAAAAGAACCATACTGGAAATGTTGTTAATTAATTTATATTACATTCATAAAACCACCAATGTGTTAGGAGCACACATTAGATTTTTTATTTCTTAAAACATAGATAACAATGAAGGTCCAAACCCAAATTACCTGATGTGAAATGCTTAAAATAGTTTTAGAATACAACAAGACTCACAAGAACGTAACTCACTTTGATTTTGGGTCACATGGGTCAGACCGACAGATTCTTAGGGTCTCCACTGGAGAAGAACATCATCTAAGCTAAGTATGGCAGCACTAAAGTTAACATGAAGTAATGATATAGTGTTGATAATAAGCAGTGTCTTAATCCAAAGAAGCTGAAAAGAGAGCCGAGAGTTTTTATGTTGTAAAAACCGGACCGGGAAGTGACCCGGAAATATTACTGGGTCAAGGGTCAACCCGGACTCGGCGGGTCAACCCGGTCAAGGACCGTTAGACCCGGTCAACACTCAACACTAAATATATGTAATTGTATATGATTAAATTCATAAATAGAAAAAAATTGTTCATTCTTAATTTAACAATGTTAATACAATATAAATAATATTTTTTTTCCAAATATATTATTGAAATGAAACTTATTTACATAGTATAGTTTTTTCAAGAATATTATTGAAAGAGTTGAACATAAATTACTATGACTAAATTATTGTTATATATAGTTATAAGGTCACCTCTTTGCAAATAAGATTTATTCTAACCATACATATGTAATTATTTCTATAAATAAAGTGAAAAAAGTATAATGATTGAATAAAATTAAAAATACATTAGGCCTTAGATGGACCATAAATATGAAAATGAAATAAATTACAAAATCTTAAAATATTATATGAATATATCTATAGTTCTTATACTCCGTATTTGGAAGATGATATACGAAGTACATAATAGGGAACTAGTCTGTATAATAATAGGCTAATAGCATTAGATGTACGAATTGTTATTGTTATTATAAAAAAAAATTAACCACTTAACTACTCTTTGGTAAATGTTTGAATAAAGTTATAAGATTTGCCAAGCCATCCACATAACTAACATGTCGTAGTGGCTTAGTGGCAATGAGGCGGATGTAATGTGGCGAAGGGCAAGTGTTCGAACAACAAGTGGTAGTGTTTTTCCAACAATTTCCAGGTTTGGCATATTTTGCGGGTTTGTGGCGGCCTGGGTCTTATCTGGGTCCGGATGGGTCACTGGGTAATCCCAGTTTTAACCATATTGACGGTTCAATGATCAACCGGACCGGATTCAAAGCTGGTTTGGCGGTTTTCGGGTCGGACCGGCCGGTCTGGTTCGGTTCTTTAAACATAGGGACTCAGTTTTCCTTACAGGTAACCAGTATATCCTTATAATCCCTATTCAGTACGCTTATAACTTTTTCAACTTTTTCTGAATACGTCCAATACGAGAAGATAAAATCCACTCATTTCCTTAATGAAAGGGAGTATACAAGATGGTGAGTGCTTTGCAAGTGGTAGGAAGGGGTGTTTCTGGACACAGGGAGCTCTGCCTAGAACTGAAATAGAATTTTTTTCTTGCCTTGAATTTAAGTTTAAGAGTATCCTATCCAATTGTGTTTAGCTGTTTTTATGATACATCAATGCTCTGCAAAATTTCAGTGTTATCGGTTATAGACTATAGTAGTGCTTGAAGGGCCAAGCTCTCTGGTTCTAGGAGCAATCCAAGCTAGAATAGCACCACAAAGATTTTTTTTTTCACTATGAAATTAAAAGAGAGCAGTTATGGCAAACATGAGCTGGGATTTAGGGCCTATATGTATGTTGTATGCATGTGAATTTCAGCAGAAAAGTTATCATTGACATTAATAAGGTAAAGTTTGTATGCATGTGCGTTTTAAGACCAACTGAAAAAGAACTTCACCAACATGTCTATTGTCAAACTAGGATTCTTTGTGAATGAACATAACATTTCATAAGGAACGTCATTAAAAAATCACAGGACATTGCCCACATCTGTATAAAAGGGCATCACATCTAACTTGGAGATCACAAGTTCACAAAAAATATTCTATGTAAAATGTAGTTTACAAAAAGAGTGAACTTGCTTCTAATGAGTATAATTTTAAGCACTTCAAGAGTTGATTGAGAGATTTGGTTACACATATTTGTGACTCTTAATCAATTGCTGCATCATATTGCATTTCAATTTATGTGAACAGAAATGAAGTAAGCATGATCTCCACTATGCTTTGGTCAATGCTTATCACTTTTCTCCAAGAATCAGATGCACATACCGTTCTCTATGCTATATTTCCAAATGCTTATCACATCACTTAACTGCACTTGTTTACTATCTTCAATGTTTCTTATTTATATCTCTATTGGTTCTTATTTTCCAGGTTCCTCAATTGCTTCATTAGCACTCTTAGTCTGCTAGGAGGTACTATAGAGTTGATGTAGGGTGATTCGTTATATCTAGACTACATATTTCCACTTTACATGTGAAAGAATGACTTAGTTCTTTTGTTTATTTTTTACACATTGACTATCAAGTGACATTTCTGTAGTTTTTATGCGTATATTTTGATGCATATGTTTCTATATGCTGCAAACATATGTTTCTGGAGGCACTACAAAATCAACTGTACTTTTATATTTGGTTTCAAGCAAGGGAAAGAGCTGGGTACCGGGAAGTCTTTCTCCGGATCCTTTGCAATGGCCTAGCAATGCACGTCCATGGCACCTTTTAGAGATTGCCGGATTGGGAGAAGAAAGCAAACCAGTCCCTAAGCTCATTTGGCAGAGGAAGTGACAAGGGAAGGAGCAAAGTATGTTGGAAGACTATGAGGCATGTGGAAGACGGCAGTGGCGGACCCAAATATACTCTAAAGCGGGGCACTTTCGCATGAATTCGAACGAGTCAGTTTGGATTACCAACCGTTCAACTAAGGACTTCAGCGGTTGTAACGGATATTGGCATAGAGCTCCATGCCGATGAGAAGCCTTAGTCACGTTTCTTGTGGCACAAAATCGAAATACAATAATATAATCTCAGTCAAATTTGAGTGTAAAAACTGAGCATGAATATAATGACTATCCTATTATAATCAATATATGTAGGTCACCTTTTTATAAAACCACTATTAATTTAGACATAAGTATGTATTGTAATTATTTATGAAAAATGTCATTTATCATAAAATTGTGTTGCATCTTAAAAGATGGAGCTTGAATACCTTTAATACAAGATACATAGTGCGGAGTAAAAAGAAGAAAGAATAGAAGGAATTTGGGCTGCTGTGGCTTGACCCAGGTTAGTTGGGTGATTAATTTTTTTTAAGTAGGGGACGTCAAAAGACATCGTTGCCCCACAAAAAAAACTCCCTCATCATTCATTTTTTTTTCTTCAATGGGGTCTGGGGCCGGGGTTGGGGGCCTGGAGTAATCAGGGTTGAAACTCATTCCATTGAGTTTTGAATAGGGTTGGACTCGGGCCCGGCCAACCGGCCCGGAACCGGACCGGCCCGCTACTTTGCGGGCCCGGACCGTCCCGGTGAACCGGTTGGTTGGTCGGTTTGGGCCATCCGGTCCGGTGGGCCGGCCGGTACGGGCCCGAGCCGGGTCATTTTTTTTTTTGATTTTTTTTTTTAAGTTTTGGGGTTGGGCTGGGACCCTGGGTATTTTGGGCCATTTGAGGTGGTTAGGATTGGTTTGGGGGTGAGGGGGAGGGTTGGGGGTTAACTAGGAAAAGCCAAAAAAAAAAAAAATAGAATCGAGGCCTGGCCCGGCCCAGACCCGGGGTTACCCGGGCCGGTTTCGTGCCTCCCCTTCTTGAACCGAGGCCTGGCCGGGCCCAGGCCCGAATCGGGCCCGAAACGGAACTGGTCCATGCCTAGTTTCGAACCCTTATGAGTAGCGAGTTTCGAACTCGAGACCCCCTGCATAGGGATGGACCCGGGTCGGTCCGGTTCCGGTTCTGGGCCGGGCCCGATCGGGCTTTTTTTGTAGAATCATGGGCCCGGAACCGGCCCGGGTGATACCGGGTCCGGTCTGGGTCGGGCCTACCCGGCCGGGTAGTGGGCCGATTCGGGCCGGGCCCGAGCTATTTTTTTTTTTGTGTTGGCCAATTGCAAACCTTGAAATTTGTGTTTGCCTTCCCTTGCCTTTGTCCGATTTCGCATATTCCGCCTGATGCTTGGCCTTAAGATGCCTTGTGGTGCTCTCGTACCCTCCAGAAATTCCCAAGTTATACTTTTTGTTGCAATGCTTACAAGTGGCGTACCATATCTCGGTTTCGAGGTCTTTAACTTTTGTAAAATTTGCCTTAAAGACAGATTCAGATTTCCCACCGGCTTGGGAAGAAGTAGCCACTTCCGCTTCCTCTTCCTCATCATCCGGTGTGCCATGAACCTCATCCTCGTCCGTTCGCGGATCCCTCTCCTATGCATCATCATACTCAAGCTCTTCTTCGTCAATGGTTTGCGGGATGTCTTGTTGATGAAAAAAACCTCCTTGATTTTGTTGCAATAGTTGTTCTAGTTGCTCATCGGACATCACATCCCCATATCCTTGGTTGTAATCCGCATCAAAATCATCTCAGGTTTGAGATGAAGACCCCGGCCCTCCCTTACCTTTGCGTGACCTTGGATGATTCCTCACAATCTCCTTTGTTCAGTTGCAGCGGAGGTTACCCATATCTACAGAAGCTCTACCACGCTCCATATTAAAAATATAATAAATATTAAATTCGAATAACAATTAAACAATTAATTTTGAATTAACTAGTTTACCAATTAACTAAAATTCGAACTATTTGTTTTACAATCTAACAACTTTATTTAACAAGTTTAACAATTAACTAGTTTTTATAGAGATTAATAAATGTAACAATTAACTACTATGATAAGAGATTAATAAATGAAACAATTAACTAGTTTAACAATTAAACAATTAATTTCGAATTAACTAGTTTACCAATTAACTAGTTTTTGTAGGAGATTAATAAATGTAACAATTAACTACTATGATAAGAGATTAATAAATGTAACAAACTAACAATTAACTAATTTAACAATTAAACAATTAATTTCGAATTAACTAGTTTACCAATTAACTAGTTTTTATAGGAGATTAATAAATGTAACAATTAACTACTATGATAAGAGATTAATAAATGTAACAATTAACTAATTTAACAATTAAATAATTAATTTCGAATTAACAAAATTCGAACTATTTGTTTTACAATCTAACAACTTTATTTAACAAGTTTAACAATTAACTAGTTTCTATAGGAGAATAATAAATGTAACAATTAACTACTATGATAGGAAATTAATAAATGTAACAATTAGATAATAAGTGTATAAGTATATATATATATATATATATATATATATATATATATATATATATATATATATATATAAGTAGATACTAAGTAAATTAACTAGTAATATATAATATTATGTTTATAGTATATATAATATAAGTATATTACTATAAGATTAGTAACACACTTATATATAATACTTTAATATATATAAGTATATATTAAGTATATCTAAAATGTAAATATAAGTAAATAAATTAGAGATGATTATATATTTATATTTTGAAATATAATATAATATATGTAGTTATAAATTTGAGAAAATGAAGATGGATAAGATTATTAGAGAATAAAGATTAGAAAGTAGGAATATTTGGAGAAGATGTGTAGTAAATTGTATAGAAAAAATGGAGTATTTATAGTTTTTTTGTACCCCCACCCCCACCCCCACCCCCACCCCTCCTAACCCACCCCGGGACCCCTGGAAGGCTCCCAACGGCTATATAGCCGTTTGGGTTCAATCACAACGGCTCTAAGGCCTGTTTGGATGGACAAAAGATTTTTTTTTTAAATCTAGCCGTTGGCCCGAACCGGGCCCGAACCGGCCGGGCCGGGCCGCCAATTTCCAGAACCGTGCCCGAACTGCTCCCCTCCCCAGGCCGGGTCAAAGCCCGAACCTCCCTATCCTTAACCGGGCCGGGCCGAGCCGGTTCAGGGCCGGGCTGGTCCGATTTGGTCCATCCCTACTCTTGCATCACTCATCTTCTGCAGCGCTCATCTTCTTCGTGCCTCAAAGCCGGAAAACTCCAAACTCCAAAGCCCCTTACTAGGGATGGACCGGAACGGATTGACCTGGCCCCGACACTGTGCAGGCTTGGCCCAGTCCGGCTGGGTGGTACCGGGACCTGGACTAGGGGTCCGAACCGGGTAGAAATGGGGTGGGCTACGCGCCTTGCAAAGTGTGAACAGTCCCGTCTGGTTAAGGACCGGTTCGGGCCCAATTTATTTTTATTTTTAAATTTTTTCCTATTCATGGGCTGCTAGGTGGGTGGGGGAGTGGGGGGTTTGGGGTGGGGGTAGGAATAATTTCGAGAAAAAAAAAATTAGACTCGACCCGACCCCGGCCCAATACCGGGCCTGCACCTCAAGTTCTTAGTCCCGTTCAATTATGGCACGGGGCCCAGCCCGGCCCGGCCCGGGCCTGATCCACCCCTACCCCTTACTGCCCTTTGGAGACGGGAGTGCTAAGGCAGGCTCCTGTTTGCTAAGGCCTTCAATAATGAAGGAAAGTGCCCCAAAAGTGAGTCACACTAGAGCCTATGTGTGAAAGAGGTTTTAGATAGAAAAGTTTCTGCTGGTTCTCTTTCCAAATAACTTCAGCTGAAATTATGTAGGTAAGAGCTGAAAGCTAGAAATGTTTGGTAAAAATATCAAAAGACATATTAATTATAGACACATGAAGGGTCTTACTTGAGCAAGAGATTAAGATAATTAGACACATAAATATTTTGCAAATCAAAAATGGCATTTTTATTTAACTCAACGTTCAGATACAAGGGATTGTATCATGGTGTTTATTTACTAATAGAGTACAAATATGTTTGTTGATAATTACAAACCAATCTTGCCAAGGGTAATCACTTGGAATATTTGAAGATCTTTTGAAAGATTACTTGTTCTGGTGAAAATGTTTAGTCCTCTTGGTGCAGGATGAGGTTAGAAACAATATGTATGCATGTTGTTTTAGTGGTGGGGGGTTCAAAATTGAAGACTTATATGAAGTTTAAGATTACACTATTGTAGGGCTTCTTCTTCCTATCTTCCAAACACAAGGCCAAGAATTAGGTTTGTTAAAGATAAATTTATCCCTCGTATCACTAAAACTTAGTGTCATGACCAATCTATGACTATTTGCTAATTTTCCTAATGTATGACCGCACATAGTCATGACCATGCAAGTGTTTTTGAACTTTTATTTTAATACCAATACTATCTCTCTATTTTATTAATACTAATAGCATATCACGTATATATGAGTAGTTTGTAACCGTTAGGAGTAATAACTACATGCGCATAACCGCCGGAATCATAGTTGCGTAGTAATAGGATTTTTATTAAGGAGAAAGTTATCCCTCGTATCACTAAAACTTAGTGTCATGACCAATCTATGACTACTTGCTAATTTTTCCTAATGTATGGCCGCATATGGTCATGACCATGCACGTGTCTTTGAACTTTTATTTTAATACCAATACTATCCCTTTATTTTATTAATACTAATAGCATATCACGTATATATGAGTAGTTTGTAACCATCGGGAGTAATAAGTGCATGCGCATAACCGCCAGAATCATAGCGGCGTAGTAATAGGATTTTTATTAAGAGTATCCTGAAAGTAAAGAAATAATAATTAATAGAAGGTAAGTAATTGACTTTTATTCCTATCCCAATCATCCGACCTTCTTTCACACGAACACTAAGTTTCACCGGCAGTTCTGGACTAAAGCATTATCCATGGATTCTGCCCCCGTAAGTTCCCCGAAAATTTGGATTATGATTAAATATGATGGCCAATGGATCTCAAACACTTTGTTCTCTAGTATTCATGTTGCCGGCATAACTATACCTTCAAATTGTACGTACAATTCTCTATATTTTCGTGTTTGCGCTGCTATGAGTGAGAATTATGTCGGGAAGAATATTAAGATCTCATATGTTTTTGCTGCGTGCCCACCTCCCGTGAATGTATGTGATGACGTTAATCTACTCTTTTATTTACAATTGAAGAGTTTTTAAAAGGACCCGATGCAAATGTCGTTGTGTGTTGAATTTGTATCCGGTGAGGAGGTTGCGGCTACGACGGGAGAGGAAGAAA